CCGCCTGAGGCGGCGCAGAATTAAAACTGAGAGTAGTGCAAAAAAACCGCCTCCGGACTCGTGTTTTGGGGTATTTTAGGGCTTTTTAAGGTTTTTTTAAAATATATTTTTAAGGGATTTTTGGGGATTTTAAAGGGGTTTTGGGGGGGATTTTTTGGGGAATTTTTAAGGGTTTTTATGGGGGTTTTGAGGGCTTTTTTAAAATTTTTTATTTTTAAAATTTTATGGGTTTTTTTTTCTTTTTTGGGGTATTTTCTGGCTTTTTGAAGGGTTTTTAGGGCCGTTTTTTGGGGGTTTGAAGGCTTTTTTTTTGCTTTTAAAGGTTTTTTTCGGGGCTTTTTAAGGCTTTTTATGGCACGGTTTCGGGGCCTTTTTAGGGGTTTGGGCCCCTTTTTAGGGCTTTTTTAGGGCTTTTAAAATTTTTTTTTTTGGGGGGGGTTTTGGGTTTTTTTTTATTTTATTTTTGAAGGGTATTTTGGGGCCTTTTTGGTGGCCTTTTTTGAGAGTTTGGAGGCTTTTTCTTTTTTGGGGGGGGGTTGTTCACGTTCTAAGGGGCTTTTTTTGGTTATTTGGAACCTTTTTTTGGGGTTTTTTGTTTTTTTGGCAGGTTTCCTTGAGCCTTTTTGGAGGTTTTGGGGATTATTTTGGTGAGCGGTCGCGTTTCTGGAAGGTTTTTTGGGACCTTTTTGAGGATGGGCCGGGGGCTTTGTGCTTTTTTGGGGGCCTTTCCTGGGGGGGGCTTTTTATGGGGTTTTTTTGGGGTGGTTTTGGGCTGTATCTTGGAATTTCTGCCTCAAATCTGCCCCTCCTTGATCCCATCGCTGCCTGGGCACGGATTGAACTCTTCCAGCATCTTTTGGGATTTTGGGGGGGCTCTTTTGGGCTGCATCACGAGGAAATTCCTGGGGGGATCCCACATTCCCAGAGATCCCAAACTCCTGGAGATTCCCAAATTCCTGAAAATTCAGCTCCGTTTGGCACCATCCCCCATCTCTTTCCCTCAGGATGAATCCCCCACAACCCCAAAACCACAGCTTCATTAATTAACCCATCAATCAAATCAATTGATCAGCAAATTAAAACCACCCCTGGATGCTCCTCCAGCTCCACAAAAACCCCTGGGAAAACCATTTGAAATCCATTTGTTCACCTCCCGAATCAGACATTAAAAACCCGCTTTTATTTCGATTTTCCCCTAAATTTTTTTTTTAATTTAATATATATAATTTTTTTTTTTTTTTATTTTTTTTTCCTGCTGTTTCATTTCCCGGGAGCCTCTGCCAGGCTCCTGCCCCCGCTCGGAGACGCCGTGGGAAGGGAATGCCGAGCTCGCGTTTCCTCTCTGGGGGAGCCGGAGGTGACAGCGCTGTGTCACCAGTGCCATCTGTGCCACCACCCCGGCCCGGGGACACCGCCGTTATTCCCAGGATTATTCCCGGGATTTATCCAGAAGTGGCCCGATGGTCTCTACCCCCTAAAAGAGGAGGAAAAGCTGATTTCTTTTGGAAAAAAAAAAAAAAAATAGGGGAAAAGAACCCACAAGTTCATTTTGGAGCCTTGGAAGTGACAGCGCTGTGTCACCAGTGCCATCTGTGCCACCACCCCAGCCTGGAGACGCCGCCGTTATTCCCAGGATTATTCCCAGGATTATTCCTGGAATCTGCATTTCCTGACGCTGCTGTGCTGAGCTGCCACCTCAAAGAGGAGGAAAAGCTGATTTTTCCTTGGAAAAGGTGGCAAAAATGAGCCACGAGTGGATTGTGGAGCCTCGGAGGTGACATCAGCCATCCGTGCCACCACCCCGGCCCGGGGACACCGCGAGTGTTCCCAGGATCTGCAGTTCCTGATGTGGATTTATCCAGGAGCCTTTTCCTGGGCACTTTCCCACCTGGAGGGGACGAGACACCCCGGAGCTGGTGCCACCCCCTGGAATGTGATTTTCCAGCGGAGGGAATCCCGGGTTTTCACTTGGTGGCTGAGGGAGGTGGTTTTGATCCTTGTGCCGGGGCCTGGGAAGTGATGTCGTCATCCCTGTCCTCATCCCTGTCCTCATCCCTGTCCTCCTTCCAATCCTCATCCCTGCTCTTATCCCTGTCCTTATCACTGCCCATCCCTGTCCTCGTCCCTGATCCCATCCCTGTCCTCATCCCTGTCCCAATCCCTGTCCTAATGTCCTCATTCCAATCCTCATCCCTGTCCCCATCCCTGTCCTCGTCCCTGATCCCATCCCTGTCCTTATCCCTGATCCCATCCCTGTCCTCATTCCTGTCCCAATCCCTGTCCTTGTCCCTGTCCCAATCCCTGTCCTAATGTCCTCATTCCAATCCTCATCCCTGATCCCATCCCTGTCCTTGTCCCTGATCCCATCCCTGTCCTAATTCCTGTCCCAATCCCTGTCCTAATCCCTGTCCTTATCCCTGATCCCATCCCTGATCCCATCCCTGATCCCATCCCTGTCCCCATCCCTGATCCCATCCCTGTCCTCATCCCTGATCCCATCCCTGTCCTTGTCCCTGTCCCCATTCCAATCCTCATCCCTGATCCCATCCCTGTCCTCTGGGAAAGGAGGATTTTCCCGTTTTCCCAACATTTCCGTGGAATCCTCCAGCAGAGGCAGCCCCGGAGCCGCTCCCGTCCCTTCAGCCCCTGCACCCCAAATCTCCGGGGGTGCTGGGGGGGATTCCCTTTACCGACCCCAAACATTCCAGAGGGTGTCCAAGGGGTCCCCACCAGCCAGGGGGAACTTCCCTGAGGCTGCCCTCGGCTCCAAACTTCCCGGAAAATCTTGGGAAGAGGGAAAAAAGGACACGGGGGCCAGAGGGGGGGTTCCCTGTTCTCCCCTTTCCCATGGAAAACCCACCTTGGGAAGAGCAGGGGGATGCCCAGGTTGGGTCCAGCGCTGTCCATGGAGGCTCTGGGAACCCCAAATCCCCCAAACCCCCAATTCCCAGGGAATTTGGCTCAGGTGAGACAATTCCAGCAGCTTGGATCTGTCCTGCCTTCCTCTGCTCCTCCTCTCCGACCCTGTCACAGCTCCCGGGTGGCTCCAGGCTTTGTCCCCATCTCCCAGGGACCTCCTGTGCCCCTCGGGCGGGGTCCCTGCATCCATCAGGACGCTCCGGGATGTTTTTCCTTCCGAATTCATTCGGAATTCTTCATTTGCACTTCAAAGCGCTTTGCAGCGAGTCCTCGGTTCTTGCGGCAATTCCCGTCCCTGCGGATCCCTGCGGATCCCGCCCTCCCCCGCTGCTGTCCCACCCTAAGGTGACATTCCAGGAGCTCTTTGCCTTCCCTAGGATTTTCCCTGCTGGAAATTCCATCCCTGGCATTGGCCTCCCAAAATATTCCCGACCTCGTGGGGCGTTTTTAGCTCCCGTGGGAACCTCCTGGAATCTCGGCACTGCCGGGGGTCTGTCCGTGCCCCCAGCTCAGGGTCTGGATCTCCTCCAGCCTCTCCAGGATGTCCAAAGGAATCCGGACTGGGAATTCCGTGGGTGCTCCCGGTTTGGAGTTTTGCTCCCTTTGAGTCTGACCCAAAATCCCGAGCTGGATTTTTCAGCGCTTCCTTTTCCCCCGTGGTGACAGAGCCACGGGCAGGACCGGGATTTCTCCGTGCTGCCATCTCCCAGCTGGGCTTTGGGGCTTTGGGGCTGGATCCCACCCAGTGCCCGGCCCTGGAGCTGCCCTTCCCCCCCAGCTCCTCCAGAGGCCTCGGCAGGGATGTTTGGAATGTCGGGGTCCTGCAGACCCCCCTGGGATCCATCCCTGGGGTTCTGCTTCCCATTCCTGGCAAATCTGCTGGGGTGGGATGAGGCCCTGGCAGGAATCTGGTGCCAGTGGGGTCGCTCAGAGCTGTGGATGTGTCCGTGGGTGGGTCTGTGGGTCATTCAGGGTCTGTCCTGGGGATCTGTGGGCACTGAGGATGGCAGTGACCCCACCGAGGGGTCTGCAGGGGTCTGTCCATGCTGTGAGTCTGTCTGTGCCATTCCAGGCTCTGTCCTGGGGATCTGTGGGCACTGGGATGGCAGTGACCCCCACCCAGGGGTCTGTCCATGCCATGGGTCATTCAGGGTCTGTCCTGGAGCCCTGTGGGCACTGGGGATGGCAGTGACCCCACCCAGGGGTCTGCAGGGGTCTGTCTGTGCCATGGGTCATTCCAGGCTCTGTCCTTGGGCACCAGGCTGGCACTGACCCCCACCCAGGGGTCTGTCCATGCCATGGGTCATTCAGGGTCTGTCCTGGAGCCCTGTGGGCGCTGAGGATGGCATTGACCCCACCGAGGGGTCTGTCCATGCCGTGGGTCTGTCTGTGCCACTCCAGGCTCTGTCCTGGGGATCTGTGGGCACTGAGGATGGCATTGACCCCACCCAGGGGTCTGCAGGGGTCTCTCTGTGCCATGGGTCATTCAGGCTCTGTCCTGGAGCCCTGTGGGCACTGAGGATGGCACTGACCCCCACCCAGGGGTCTGTCCATGCCGTGGGTCATTCAGGGTCTGTCCTTGGGCACCAGGCTGGCAGTGACCCCCACCCAGGGGTCTGTCCCTGCCGTGGGTCTGTCTGTGCCACTCCAGGCTCTGTCCTGGGGATCTGTGGGCACTGGGATGGCACTGAGCCCCACCCAGGGGTCTGCAGGGGTCTGTCCGTGCCGTGGGTCTGTCTGTGCCACTCCAGGCTCTGTCCTGGGGATCTGTGGGCACTGGGGATGGCAGTGACCCCCACCTGGGGGTCTGTCCGTGCCGTGGGTCTGTCTGTGCCACTCCAGGCTCTGTCCTCGGGCACCGGGCTGGCAGTGCCACCCCTCCGGGGGGGGTTTTGTCCCCCGGAGCCCCCGGCAGCCGCGGCGAAAGGAGAGCAGCTATTAATAACCTGCGCACACAGGGAAAAGATGTAATTCCATAATGGAAGCGGCTCCGAGCACAATTCAGGGAATAAAATGTTCGGGCAGGGGGGAGGGGGGATTGGGGGGCGGGGGCAGGGGGGGAGCCCAACCCCCACCGCGCGGGGCTGCGGCTCCGCGGTGCCGGTGCCCCCCCGGGATGGAGGGAGAAGCCCCCCGACCCCGCCACCACCCTGGGGGGCTCCGCAGGGCACGGGGGGCACCGGGGGTCGGCGGTGCCCCTCCCGGGGCAGGCCACGGCAGCGCTGCCGGGGTCCGGGCTCCGGCGCGTGTGTCCCCCCGGAGCATCCCCGGGACCGGCCGTGCCCCGGTGGGGGGGTCACAGCCCCGGGGGCGGCCCCGGCGCGTGGCGGGGGAGGGGCTGGCGGCCGCCCGGTGCCCACGTGGTTTGTCGGTGTCTCCGGAGCGGAAGAAACGGCGGCGGGGCCGGGGCTGCGGCGGGGACCGGGAGCGGCGGCGGCGGCGGGACCCGGCGGGGCGGGGACGGAGCCGCATCCCGGCGGGCGCCGCCGCAGCGCAGCAGCAGCGCCGGTGAGTGCGGGGCCTGGGCCGGGGCACGGCGGGAGCGGCCGGGGGGGCAGAGCGGGCTGCCCCCGCCCCACCGGGCCTGTCCGCTCCCGCCACAGCGCGACCCCGGCCCCGGCCCCGTCTCCCCCCGCCGCCTTCACCATCCCCGCTTCATCCTCATCCGCGGCTCCATCCTCATCCCCATCCTCATCCTCATCCCCATCCTCATCCTCACCCCCATCCTCACCCCCATCCTCAGCCCCATCTCCATCCCCGGCTGGATTCGCATCTTCATCCCCACCTTCATCCCCATCCCCGGTTCCGTGCCCATTTCCAGCCCGGTTCTATCCCGCTTCCGTCCCCATCTCCTGCTCCATCCTCGTCCCCATCCCCGGCTCCATCCTCATCCTCATCCTCATCCTCATCCTCATCCTCATCCTCATCCCGTCCCGGCTCCGCCCCAGACCCCTCCTGCGTTTCCGTCCCCGTCCCCGACCCCCGGCGCGGCGCGGCCCCGGGCTGGGCGCGGGGGGGGAGGCGGCACCGGGCCGGCCCGGGGCCGTTCGGGGACGGTTTCCCGGAGCCTCCGGGGCCGCCGCAGGCCGGACCCCCCCCCCCCCACCCCGCTCACCCTATCGCGACCCCCGTCCGCGCTCACCCGCGCACCGGGCCCGGCTCCCCAAGTCGGGGGCGCGCTCGCCCCGTCCCCCTTTCCCCGCCGGTTCTCCCCCGGTTCCCCCCCGGTTCCCCCCCGGTTCCAGGGCCGCTGCCCTCGCCCCAGCCCCTCCCCGCGTCTCCCCAGCCCCGCAGAACCGGGACAGCACCGGGGGGGTCCCACAATGAGGAGGGGGCGCGTCCCGGCCGCGGCCACCGAGGGCCGGGCAGGGGGGGCTGCCTTAGGCCGGCTCCTACCGAGTGCATCCTCCCGCCCCCCAAAAGGTTTTTTTGGGGGCACCAAGCCTTGTCCCTAACCCAGCCGGGTGCCAGCAGCACCCACAGCCTGGCACATCCCCTTCCCATCGCCATTCCTGCGCCCGGTCCCGTTCCCAGCCCGTTCCCGTTCCCACCGGAGCCCTGAGCCGGCCGAGCCCTCCCGCAGTGTCCCAGTCCCGGGGGGCTGCAGCCCCATTTCTGCCCATTTTCCAAGCCCCAGTTTTGCTCATTTTCCAAACCCCATTTCTGCTCATTTTCCAAACCCCATTTCTGCTCATTTTCCAAACCCCATTTCTGCTTTTTTTCCAAGCCCCATTTTTGCCCATTTTCCAAACCCCATTTTTGCCCATTTTCCAAACCCCATTTCTGCTCTTTTTCCAAACCCCATTTCTGCTCTTTTTCCAAGCCCCATTTCTGCTCATTTTCCAAGCCCCATTTTCGGTTTTTCCCCAGGCATTTGCGGGCCTCGAGGAGGGGCCGGGAGCGCGGAGGGGGCGCGGGGACCCCGCCTGGACCCCGATGAGAGCAGCTCCGGCTCCCGCCGATCCTCTCACGGCCGATGTCCGGAGCTCCCGCACCTGAGCCACACCTGTGACACGTCTGTGACACGCCTGTGACACGCCTGTGACACGCCTGTGACACGCCTGAGCCCGCAGCCCTGCCCAGCCCGCGCTGCTTCGCCCCGCGCCCGGGGCCCGCTGCAAGGCAAGTGTCCCACCGGGCTGGGGAAACTGAGGCACGGCACCACCGGGGAGCTCCGGGCCGGGCTGGGGAAACTGAGGCACGGCACCACCGGGGAGCTCCGGGCCGGGCTGGGGAAAATGAAGCACGGCACTACCGGGGAGCTCCGGGCCGGGCTGGGGAAACTGAGGCACGGCACCACCGGGGAGCTCCGGGCCGGGCTGGGGAAACTGAGGCACGGCACCACCGGGGAGCTCCGGGCCGGGCTGGGGACACGCAGCTGCCTGCAGTGTTGGGGACACAGAGGGTCCTGTCACCTCGCTGGCAGGGCCTGGGACCCCCGCAAGGCTCTGGGGATCTTCATTTGGGGGGTCGGGGGTCACCAGAGCTTGGGGAGACTCATCTTGGCTTTGGGGGTGCCTCAGTTTCCCCGGGAGGGGGATGGCAGTGCCCTCCCTGCCCGGGCAGAGCTGTGTCCCCTCTGTCACCAGCCCGGGGGTGGATTTAAGCCCCTGGTCCGTGATTTATTCTCCGTGTCCCACGGGACCTCCGGCCCGGGGGTGGCAGTGGGGCGGGGCTGTCCCCAGGCTCCCGAGGGGGACAGGGACAGGGGACAGGGGACAGGGACAGGGGACAGGGACAGGGCAGGGACAGGGACAGGGACAGGGACAGGGACAGGGGACAGGGACAGGGGACAGGGACAGGGACGGGGACAGGGACAGGGACAGGGACAGGGACAGGGACAGGGACAGGGACGGGGGAGGGTACAGGGGACAGGGACAGGGACGGGGACAGGGACAGGGACAGGGGACAGGGACAGGGACAGGGGACAGGGACAGGGACAGGGGACACGGACAGGGGACAGCGCCAGCACCGGCTGCGCTGCCTCGAGGCGCTTCTCCCACCGGGAAACATCCCGGGAGCCACCGGAGGCAGCGGCTGCGGGAGCCCCGCGCGGGGTCAGCGCTGCGGCGGGGCCGGACGGGCGGGGTTGGGGACCCCGGGAGGGGCTGGGGACGGTGCCGGCAGCCAGGTGGCTCCCGGGGGGGAGCGGCAGCGCCGGTATTTAGGGCAGGGCTGCGCCAGGCGTGGGAGGCCCGGGAAGCGGCTCCCGTGCGGCAGCGGCAGCACCGGCCGCTATTTCTGGTGCTCGGTCCCCGGCGGGGACGTCAGGAAAGTCACCGTGTCCCCCCCGGGGGGTTCTGCTGGGGGGCTCTCTGCTCCCACCCTCCTGCTGATGGGGGCTGGGGGGTGTGAGCACCTCTGTCCCCTCTTTCCCCGGGCGGGACGGAGGGGATGGCGTGGCCGGTGTCCCCTTGTCACCCCAGGGGACAGCGTGGGGTCGGAGCTGGTGGTGGTGGCACCCCTGGGACTGTCACTGGGTGCCACTGGGAGAGGCTGAGCACCCACAGACCCCGCCTGGGCTGGGTGGGTCACCAGCACCCGGGTGTCCCCACGGCCCCAGCGCTGGCCTGGTGGCAGCGGAGTGTCCCCGCAGGCAGGACATGGACTCCATGTTCGAGGACGACATCAGCATCCTGACGCAGGAGGCGCTGGGGCCGGACGAGGACTGGCTGGACAGCCCCAACACCGACCTGTCGGGCGAGATGTGCTCGGCCTCGCACTTCGCCCTCATCACCGCCTATGACGACATCAAGAACCGGCTCACGGCGCTGGAGAGGGAGAACTCCACGCTCAAGCGCCGCCTCAAGATGTACGAGGTCAAGGTGAGGGGTCTGGGGGAGCTCTGGGGGGGCGGGGGGCCGGAGGGACCCGCTGACCGCCCGCCCCGCGGCCGCAGTACCCCCTGATCGGCGAGTTCGGCGAGGAGCACATCTTCTCCCTCTACGAGGCCAAGGAGAACTCGCTGCTCAAGAGCGAGAAGGCGTCGCTGCAGCAGCAGCTCAACCAGTTCCAGCACGAGGTGAGGAGATCCCGGGGCTTTGGGGGGGCTTTGGGGGGGCTTTAGGGGGTCCCTGAGCCATCCACCCACCCCAAATCCCCTCCGCCCTCCCCTGGCAGCTGCAGAAGAGCAAAGAGCGGGAGGAGCAGCTGGAGGAGATGATCCAGGCCTACGAGAAGCTGTGCGTGGAGAAGGCGGACCTGGAGACGGAGCTGGCAGAGATGGTGGGTGACAGCCACCGCCGGGGACAGCGGGGTCCTGTCCCCTCTCCCGGGCCCGTGGTGTCCCCATCTTTGGGCAGGCAGGGGGCCGTGGTGTTTTGGGGTTTTAGGGATGCTCAGATTTATCCATCCTCCCGCTCCCGCCGTGCAAAGAGTCCCGGTGCCAGCCGGGCATCCCCGGCTCCCCTTTCCCAGCCGCGCCACCGCCACCGGGCCGATCCCGCTCCAAAAACCGCCCCAAAAACCGCCCCAAAATCCGCGTGTGCCGGGCTGGGGGGGGTGGGTGAGCCCCGGGGAGGGGGCGCGGCGCGGCCGAGGCTCAGCCCGGTCCCTCCCGGTGCAGCGGGCGCTGGTGGAGACGCACCTGAGCCGCATCCGGAGCTTGGAGCAGCAGCTGCGGCAGCGCGACAGCGGCGCCTTCCCCGGGCTGGGCGGGCAGGAGCCGCCGTTCATCGCCCGGCACCCCAATCCCGGCCTGAGCCACGGTGAGAGACCCTTCCCCACCCCAACCCCGGCCTGAGCCACGGTGAGAGACCCTTCCCTTCCCTTCCCCTTCCCCTTCCCCTTCCCCGCCTAACGCGGCCCCGGGACCCGCGGCCGGGACCGGGAGGAGCCGTGCCCGGGATGAGCCGTGCCCGGGATGAGCCGTGCCAGGGATGAGCCGTGCTAGGGATGAGCCGTGCCCGGGATGAGCCGTGCCAGGGATGAGCCGTGCCAGGGATGAGCCGTGCCGGGGATGAGCCGTGCCGGGGATGAGCCGTGCCAGGGATGAACCGTGCCAGGGATGAGTCGTGCCAGGGATGAGCCGTGCCAAGGATGAGCCGTGCCCGGGATGAGCTGAGCTGTGCCCGGGATGAGCCGTGCCCGGGATGAACCGTGCCCGGGCTGAGCTGTGCCAGGGCTGAGCCGTGCCCGGGATGAGCTGTGCCCGGGCTGAGCTAAACCGTGCCCGGAATGAGCCGAGGGGTGCCCGGGCTGAGCCGAGGCTGAGCCAAGCGGTGCCCAGGCTGAGCCGAGCCGTGCCCAGGCTGAGCCGAGCCGTGCCCGGGGCCGAGCCATGCCCAGGCTGAGCCGAGCCGTGCCCGAGCCGTGCCCAGGCTGAGCTGAGCCGTGCCCGGGGCTGAGCCGAGCCGTGCCCAGGCTGAGCCGAGCCGTGCCCGAGCCGTGCCCGGGGCTGAGCCGAGCCGTGCCCGCAGTGCTGGACCGCGCCGGGGGCTGGCAGAGCCGCGGGCTGGAGGCCGAGCTGGAGGCGGCGCGGCAGGAGAACCAGCGCGCCCAGCACCGCGAGGAGCAGCTCAAGGCCGAGTGCGAGCGGCTGCAGGCGGAGCTGGAGCACCTGCGGGACACCCGCGAGCAGGTCCGGGGCAGCGCCGGCCCGGGACCACCGGCCCGGGTGGGGTTTGGGTGCCGGGGGGTGTCTGGGAGAGGGAATGGGGCAGGGTCTGACCCCATAGCACCCCTCATTCCTGCTGGGTGGGGTTTGGGTGCTGAGGGGTGTCTGGGAGAGGGAATGGGGCAGGGTCTGACCCACAGCACCCCTCATTCCTGCTGGGTGGGACCCATAGCACCCCTCAGTCCCGGTCAGTGGGGTTTGGGTGCCGAGGGGTGTCTGGAGAGGGAACGGGGCAGGGTCTGACCCCCAGAACCCCCCTATCCTCGATGGGTGGGGTTTGGGTGCCGGGGGGACCCCTTATTCCTGCTGGGTGGGGTTTGGGTGCCGAGGGGACCCCTCATTCCTGCTGGGTGGGGTTTGGGTGCCGGGGGGACCCCTCATTCCTGCTGGGTGGGTTTGGGTGTCTGGGAGCAGGGGTGGGGCAGGGTCTGACCCCCAGCACCCCTGGCCGGGTGGGGGTCCCGGCGCTGAGCGGCCCCGCTGTCCCCAGGAGCAGTCGGAGCGCGCCATGGCCTGGGTGAAGAAGGTGGGCGATGACCAGTAAGTGCTGGGGGGGCTGGGCGGGGGGCTGGGGGGCCCCGGGGCGGTGGGGGGCACACGGTACCGGCTGTGGGGCACGGCGCTCACCCCACACCTCTGCACGGGGTCCCCGCATGGAGTCCTGCAGTGGGGGGGTCCCGCACCCCAAAATCACCAACCCCAAAATCACCAACCCCAAAATCACCAACCCAAAATCACCAACACCAAAATCACCAACACCAAAATCACCGACCCCAAAATCAGCCTTGGGGCTGGGCGGGGCTGCGGGCACGGGGTGCCCGGTGCCGAATATTGTCCTGGTGCCCCGTGCCCCCTTCCCGGTGTCCGGTGCCCGGTGTCCGTGCGTTGTCCCGGTGCCCGGTGCCCGGTGCCCGGCGTCCCGGTTTCCGGTTCCCGGTGCCGGCTGTTGTCCCGGTGCCCGGTGCCCGGTGCCCGGTGTCCGTGCGTTGTCCCGGTGCCCGGTGTCCGGTGCCCGGTGTCCGTGCGTTGTCCCGGTGCCCGGTGCGGCCTCGGCGCTGCCTCCAGAGGGCACTGACGGTTCGCGGCTGCCGAGAGAGCGGCCCCGAGTGGCACCGAGGCGGTGACGGTGTCCCCGGACCCCCAAACCCCGAAATTCCCCGGTGGCACCGAGTCGGGGGCGCTGTCCCCGCTCTAACTCGGGTCTGGCATCTCTCCCCGCTGTCCCCGCGCCGGACGGTGACAGTGACAATGACAGTGACGGACAGACCGGGGGACAGGCGGGCCCGGGAAGGTGCCGGCCGCTGTTTTGGGGGGCTGGATCCGTCCCGGGGGGCTCCTGCCTCTCCCTTCCCCTCCTTCATCCCCTCCATTCCCATAAAATTCCCTTCATTCCCATTAATTCCCTCCATTCCCATTCATTCCCTCCATTTCCATAAAATTCCCTCCATTCCCATCAATCCCCTCCATTCCCCCCAAATTCCGCCCCCCAGCTCACCCCACATCTCCCCACCGCCCCTCTCCCCCCCTCCCCACAACATCCACAGAAATTCAAACTCCCAAATTCTCCCTTAACCTCCCCCATCACCAAAATCTCGCATTTTTAACCCCAAACTCGCCAGGCTGGCACGGGGAAACTGAGGCAGGGGCGGCTCCTCACCCCCTCCCCGGGCACCGCTTTCTCCCCCCCCCCCCCCCCGCGCTCTTTTTTTGCCGATTCAGCTCTTTTTTTGTCACCTGCGTCTCTCCGCCCTTTCTTTGGGTGTGAAAAGCGCCTTATCAGCGTTTTCCATCTCCGCGTGATTTTCTGGTGTTTCTGCCACGCTCCCCATCTTCCCCATCGTCCCCATCTTCCTCTTTTTTTATTTTAATTTCTGAGGTTTCAAATATTTTTTGGGCTTTCTGAGCTTGCGCTTGTTCCCTCTTGGTCTCCCTCACTAGAAAAACCAGGAGTCAAATATTGAGGAAAACCCTGGAAAGAGCAGGGTGGGGATTTGGGGGGGTCAGACCACCCCTCCCGCTTCCCCGCCCACGTTTTTGGGGGATTGGGTGGGTTTTAATGACTCTTGCACCCATGGGTGCCAGAGGTGTGTTCCCCACCCCTGGCTCCTCCAGCTCTGCAGCAAAAAGGGGTCTGGGGGACACAACGGTGACATCCTGTGCGTGTCCTTCCCCCCTTTCCCTCCTTTCCCTCCTTTTCCTTATTTTCTTTATTTTCCTTCCTATTCCTTCCTTTTCCTTCCTTTTCCTCCTTTCCCTCATTTTCCTACTTTTCCTCCTTCTCCTTCATTTCCTCCTCTTTCTTTTCCTCCTTTTCCTTCTTTTCCTTTTCCTTCTTTTCCTCCTTCTCTTGCTTTTCTTCCTTTTCCTTCTTTTCCTTTTCCTTCTTTTCCTCCTTCTCTTTCCTTTCCTCCTTTTCCTTTTTTTCATTTTCCCCCTCTTCTCTTTTCCTTCTTTTCCTTCTTTTCCTTCTTTCTTTTCCTTCTTTTCCTTCTTTTCCTTCTTTTCCTTCTTTTCCTTTTCTTCCTTCTTTCTTTTCCTTCTCCTTCTTTTCCTCCTTTTCCTTTTTTTCCTTTTCCTTCTTTTCCTTCTTTTCCTTCCTTTCCTTCTTTTCCTTCTTTTCCTTCTTTTCCTTCTTTTCCTTCTTTTCCTTTTCCTCCTTCTCTCTTTTCCGTCTTTTCCTCCGTTTCCTTTCCCCCTTCTCTCTTTTCCTTCTTTTCTTTCTTTTCCTTTTCCCCCTTCTCTCTTTTCCTTATTTTCCTCCTTTTCCTTCTTTTCCTTTCCCCCCTTCTCTCTTTTCCTTCTTTCCCTCCCTTTCATTCTTTTCCTCCCCCCTCCTTTTCCTTTGCTCCTTCACCCATTTTATTATTTTTTTCTCTCCATCCTTCTCCTCCTTCCCCCCCACTCTTTCCCCTCCTCTCCCGGTCCTTTCCCACTTTCTCTCTCCTTTCCCACCTCTCCGGCCGCGCTGCCCGGGGCCGCCGCTGTCAGCCGCGGTTACGAGCGGCGGCTCCGGTGCGGGCGGTGTCACAACGGCTCAGCGGGGCCGCACCGGGACGCGCCGCGCTCCGGCCCCGCGGCTCCATCCTCCCGTCGCGTCCCCGCCGAGAAAATCCCGGCTGGGAAAGCGACACCAACTCGGGGCAGAATTGATGATTTTGGCAGCGCTTCCCAGCGCCGGGAGCTGGGGGGGATGGGGGGAGCAGCTCCCGCCCCGTCCTGCCCCATCCGCGGCCGCAACTTTTCCATTTTCCGTTCAAAAAATGAATTTTGGGTGGTTTCGGGTTGGTTCTGGGGGGACAGCGGGGCTGTGCGGTGTTTACGTTCCCTGTTCTTGTGGTATTTATATTCTCTGTTCAGAGACACCCAAAATATCCATTCCGGGACCGTCAGATACTCCCACATATGGATGCTCCCAGGTGTGGATATTTTTGGGATGGGATATTCCCAGGGATGTGGCCACGAGCCGCTGCGACCCCTTTGGGAATTGTCCTCTGGATCTGGCCGGGGTGGAGAGGAGGAACCTCAGACACCCTGAGGTGGCTTTTTTTTTTTTTCCACCCTGGGTCATGAATTCCTCAGGAATTTCCTGGAGGAATGCTGGAATCACCATGCAGGCAGCAGAACTAAACCTTTTTAAGGTGTATTTATTAAAAAAAAAAACAATAAAAAACCAAAAAAACCAAACCAAAACCAAACCAACCAAAATTCCAGGGGGAGGTCAAACCCTACCGAAGGATTTAATCCCTACTGGAGGATTTAACCCCTCCTGGAGGATTTCACCCCTACCGGAGGATTTAATCCCTACTGGAGTATTTAACCCCTCCTGGAGGATTTCACCCCTCCGGAGGGGTTCCCAGGATTTCATCCCCCTGAGGGGTCTCTCCTGCCCCATCCCGGCCGTGCTTTGCTCCGCAGGGTGAACCTGGCGCTGGCCTACACGGAGCTGACGGAGGAGCTGTGCCGCCTGCGGAACCTCAGCGCCCTGCAGAGCCAGATCCTGCGGGCGCTGCTGCAGGAGAAGAGTCCCAGCGGGGGTGAGAGGGGCCCTGGGGTGCGGGGTGGGCACGGGGGGCACAACAGCGGGAAAAGGGGGTGGGAGAGATCGTCCTACGGATGGCAGTGAGCTCCGGTGGGTGTGGGACCCGCCCTGGGAGCGTCCCACAGCAAGGGTGTCCCATCCCGAAATATCCATACCTGGGAATCTCCCATCCCACAATATCTGTACCTGGGAATGTTCTATCCCGAAATATCCATACCTGGGAGTGTCCCATCCCAAATTATCCATACCTGGGAGTGTTCATCCCAAATTATCCATATCTGGGAGTATCCATACCTGGGATTATCCATCCCAAAATATCCATACCTGTGAGTGTCCCATCCCAAAATATCCATATCTGGGATTATACATCCCAAAATATCCATATCTGGGAGTATCCATACCTGGGAATGTCCCATCCCAAATTATCCATACCTGGGAGTATCCATCCCAAAAAAATCAATTCCTGGGACCACTTCCCACAATTCCCACATTTCCCACAATTCCCACATTTCCCATGTGTCCCACACTTCCCACATTTCCCGCATTTCCCACGTGTCCCACATTTCCTGTGTCCCACACTTCCCACATTTCCCACATGTCCCACACTTCCCACATTTCCCACATTTATTTCCCACACTTCCCCCAGTTCCCACATCGCCCCGCTAACGCCGAGCATTCCTTCACGTGTCCCCTGTCCCGTGCCAGGCCAGCGCCACTCGCCGCTGTCCCAGTGCCACTCCCCGGCGCAGCAGCGCCGCTCGCCCGCCCCGCAGTGCCCGTCGCCCGGTGCCCCGGGGCGCTCCCAGTGCCAATCCCCCGCGCTCCAGCGCCGCTCGCCGGGACCCCCGAGCCAATCTCCGGCCCAGCAGCGCCGCTCGCCAGCCCCGGGCCCGTGCCAGTCTCCGGCCCAGCAGCGCCGTTCCCCGGTGCCACCCTCCAGCCAGTCTCCAGCCCCTCAGCGCCGCTCGCCCGTGCCACCACCGCCACCGCCACCAGCCCCGTGCCCATCGCCACCCTCGGCGTCGCCGCACCGCCTGCCCGGCGAGAGGATGGAGCTGGCCTATGCCAAACCCTCGAGCCGCCACATCAAGGCCGGCTTCCAGGGCCGCCGCAGCTACTCGGAGGTGACCAACGTGGCCCTGTACCAGCAGAGCCGCTCGCTCTGGCTGCAGCCCGAGGCCTCCACGCTGCCCAAGCACCGGCCCTACGGCGAGGTGTACCTGGGGGGCGCGGGGGCACCGCTCAGCGCCCACGGGCCCTTCGAGGAGCACGTCCGCTTCGACAAGGGCTCCTCGGATGAGGAGGAGTGGGCGCTGCCCAGCCCCCCCAGCCCCGAGGCCGGAGCCATCCGCTGCGCCTCCTTCTGCGCCGGTTTCCCCGCACCGGACGCCGACGCCGCGCACCGGACGGCGGCCGCCTACGCCCGGGCCGAGCACGCCCAGTCCTGGCCTTCCATCAATGTAAGGAGGGCACCCCGATCTCCCCGCGGGGTTTTGGGGTGGGTTTAGCGGTGGGGAGCATCGAGGGAACCCCCCAGCCCCGGTGCGGCGGCACCACGTGGCGAGGTGGCTGCCTCAGTTTCCCCGTTTGTCACCTCCCGGCTGGTTGGGGACAGCGGGGGAGGTTTGGGGGGGAGGTGACAGAGGGGACATAGCCAGCACGGGGGTCTGATCGCCCTGCGCCCCCCCAGCTGCTGCTGGAGACGGTGGACTCGGAGGTGCGGAGCTGCCCGCTGTGCCAGCTGGCCTTCCCCATCGGCTACCCGGACGATGCGCTGGTCAAACACATCGACTCGCACCTGGAGAACAGCAAGATCTGAGCCTCGCCCCCTCCCCACCTCTGGATGCTGCATGGAAACACACCGGGAGCGCCCGCCTCCCGAAATACCTCCAATCTTCAGTAGCTACGGAAAGACTGAGCCCCCCCGGAGCCCCCCGGAGCCCCCCGGAGCCCCCCGGAGCCCCCCAGAGCCCCCCGGAGCCCCCCGTGCCAGCTTTGGATGCTCCGGTTGGGGTACCAGGGCCACGCCGGGCCGGGTGGTGGCCGGAGGGGACCCGGCCGTGCCCCTGGCTGTCCCCTGTCCCCTCGAGTGTCGCTGCTCGATCTCAGGGAGGATCCGAGGGGCCGGGGCCGGATCCGGCCCCCAGGAAGGAGATGAGGGGAAGGGGCCGCCCCTTCCCCGGCCCGGGGGGTCAGAGGGGGGCTCGGGGTTGGCAGTGGGGGGCAGCTGCTTGTTCTCGGTCCCCTCTGCCTTGTCCCGCCGGTTCAAGCATCTTTCCTCTCTTTTACATTAAAAGCACCCCCTACCCCCCGAATTTCCCCCCCCTCCCCACAACGATGCTGCTGAGAAACGAACCCGGAGGAGCAGCATGGACCCACCCCCCCCCCAGCCCCCCAACATTGCACTGGGCTCCCTGGGGCTCCCCCCACACCCCCGCGTGGCGTGGGGACAGCGCAGCCCCTCAGCAGCCCCCCCAAATCCCCGGCCCCCCTCTCCCTGCTTCAGCCGGGGGCTGCAGGCGGCTGCTGACCCCGAGCCCCCCACCCATCCCCCCCGTCCCCCCACGTTCGATCTACCTCAAAGCCGCCGGGACAGGGGGTCCGCAGCACGGTCCCCCCTCACCGAGCCGCCCGCGCTGCATGTCCCCCCGTGTCACAGCGCACAGCCCCACGCAAGGCCGGGGGCTCGGCCGGGCGCGCCCCCCCGCCCCACGCCGGGACCCCCGGGACCCCCGGGACCCCCGGGACCCCCGGGACGAGGGACGCGCCCTCGCTGCCGCCACCGACTCCAATAAAACCTTCCCAGCGCCCGAAATGCCTCGGGGGGGTGCAGGCCTCTCCTCTCTTGGGGTCCCTGGGGGAGGAGAGTGGGGGGGTCCAGCTGGGGGTGTCCCCCCGGGGATGGGGTTGGGGTCGGGAGTGAGTTTGGGGCTCAGCTTGTGTCGCCGGGGTGGCCCTGGGGGTGACACGGGGTGGGGTGTCCTGCAGCTCCCGGAGCTTTTGGGGTCTATCGGGCAGGTGAGTGACCCAAAAAGGGACAATCAGAGGCAAAACAGAACTCACCGGGCTGGTGGTGACAGAAGGGACACGGCCGGAGCCGGGGTGGGGGGCGATGGGTGGCGGGGTGGGGGGCGATGGGTGACAGGGTGGGGGGATTGTCCCGGTTTTCCTGGGGAAGGGGCTGGGCAGGGGGGGCTCTGTCCATCCCTCCTCTGTGTTTTTGGAGGTCCTGCACCCCCTCCTGAGGGCTGGGGGGGTCGGGCCAGCGCTGCGGGACCCCCGGGTGGGGCAGCACCGGGCACGGAGCCCGGGCACGGACCCCGGGCACGGAGCCCCGGGCACGGAACCCCGGGCACGAAACCCCCGGGCACGGACCACCGGGAACGGATCCCCGGGCACGGACCCCCGGGCACCGAACCCCGGGCACGGACCCCCGGCCACGGACCCCCGGGCACGGAACCCCCGGGGGGCTGCGGGGGGGTCCCGTCCCGTCTCTCCGGGCCCAGCCCGGCCCCGGGCAGGGTGCGAGGGCGGTTCCCGGTGCCGATGGTGTGAAGGAGATAAGCCGCGGTGCCGCGGCCTTATCGCCGCCCCATCTCCGCCTCTGCCCGTGCCCGGGCAGGAAGAGCAGCCCCTGCCCACCCCCCGCGCCCCCCGGTGGGCACCGGCAGCTCCGGGGGGACCGAGGGGGAGGCAGAGCCGGGTGGGGGGGACACGGTGACCCCCCCCCGGGGTCGGGTCCCCAAACCACCCGCGTGGGGACGAGCCCCGGGGTGCGGCGGGGCTGTGACCGGGCTGTCCCCGGTTCGGACTGGGGTGGGGGCGCAGCGGGTCCTGCCCGCGCTCCGGGGGTGCCCCGGCCCCCCTTTTCTCCCTCCGCCCGCCTTTCCCCCCGGTTTTGTCTCTCTTTTTTTGAAATCACGTGCTAAACGCCCAACGCCGCCGCCGTTACTCATCCCGGGGCCCCCCCGGTACCGCTTCCCCCCGGGGGCGGCTGCCGCTGACTCAGCACCTGCCCGGGACCCCCCCGGGCCCCCCAAAACCGCCGTCCCTTAGGGGGTGTCACCTGCTGCGGAGCGTCCCCGCGATGCTCGCCCGAGCCTGGGGGGTCCCAGCGCCCCAAAACCGCTGCCTGGGGGGCGCCCCTGCTCCGGGGGGTCCCCGGGGTGCTCGGTGGCCGTCGCTCGGTGGCCGTCCCCGTGTCTCTGTCACGCGTGGGGAGGCTCCGAGCCCACCCCGCTGCGGCTGCCCCCGTGCCTCAGTTTCCCTTTCCCACTGCGGAGGGAAGTGGGGGTGCCCGGGGGGGGGGGGGGAGGTGCGGCCCCATTTCCTGTGACCCCCCCCGGAGCTGCGCCCCACGCGGGGAGCGCTGGGCTGGGTGACAGCGCTGTCCCACGGTGGCGGTGTCCTTGCCATGCCACCCCCGCGGTGTCCCCAAAGCCACCCCGCAGCCCCCCCCCCCTCAGCCGCGCCCCCCGAGGGGCTCCGGGGGGGGCGGCCCCGCTGTCCCCACGCTGCGGGGCGTGGGACCAGGTGGCTTTGGTGGCGTCCCGAGTGTCCCCGTGTGGCCCGGCTGGGGACAAGGCAGGCCCGGGGTTTGTCACCTCCCGCCCGGCCCGGGGGCGGTGGGAGCATCCCCGGGGGAATTGTCCCCTCTAAACGCCGGGGCTGTCACAGCAGTGGCACTGGGCGCTGTCCCCAGGGCCACCCAGGGGTGCGCAGCACCCTCTCAACCCGGCTGTGTCCCCCACTGTTGGTGGGACGGACCTGGCTCCGTGTCCCCCGTGTCCCCCCGTGTCCCCCGTGTCCCCCATGTCCCCTTGTGTCCCCCGTGTCCCCTGTGTCCCCCGTGTCCCCTCTGTCCCCCATGTCCCCCATGTCCCCCATGTCCCTTGTGTCCCTTGTGTCCCCAGTGCCCCCATGCCAGTGGGTCACACCTCTCCATTCCCTGGGTGATAACTTCATTTTTTTTGTTGTTTTTCCCATCAAAACCCCCTCTTATTTTGGGCACCTTTAAGGTTTCTTTTTCCAGCTTTCGGTTGGGTTGGGTTTTGTTGGTTTTTTTTCCCCTTTTCTCCGCGTTTTTATCATTTAGAGGAAAAGCGAAACAATTCTCACTGCTCGGGCCCCGCTTTCCCCTGCAGGGCGGGGGGGACACGGCACCCAAGGGTGCTCTGGGGGGACAGTCCTGGTGCCGCTGGGTGCAGGAGTCACCCAGGGGACCCTCCGATGTGCTCTGAGGTGCGATCCCTCTGGAACCCCATTCCCCGTCCTTGCAGAGGGATCGCCCCCAGCACAATCCCAAAGCAGCGGATCCGGGGGGGCTCCAGGACCCCCGCCGGGCTCGGGGCACACGGTGTCCCCTCGGTGTCCCCTCGGTGTCCCCTCGGTCGGCGTTTATAGGAAACGGCTCCGCGAGGAAGCGCCCGGCTCCGGTGCCCGGCTGAGCGCTTCTTTCCTGCCGTGGGCGCCCCGAAAGGCCGCGGGGGATCCGGGGTGAGTCAGAGCGGAGCCCCGGGGCTCAACCGCAACCCCCAGAGCTGCCGGGGAGCGGAGAGCCGCCCGGAGGCGTTTCGGGGAAACGGGGGGCTGCCCTCGGGGGTCTGTGGGACGGGATCGGTGGGTCTGTGGGGCAGGATCTGTGGGGCGGGATCGATGGGTCTATGGGGCAGGATTTCAGGGTCTATGGGACAAGGTCTGTGAGTCAGGATTTCAGGATCTGTGGGGCAGGATCTGTGGGTCAGGATTTCAGGGTCTATGGGGCAGGGTCTGTGGGGCAGGATTGCAGGGTCTATGGGGTATGCAGGATCTATGGGGCAGGATTTCAGGGTCTGTGGGGCAGGATTGGGATCGATGGGTCAGGATTGGGATCGATGGGGCAGGATTGGGATCGATGGGGCAGGATTGGGATCTATGGGGCAGGCAGGATCTATTGGTCAGGATTTCAGGATCGATGGGTCAGGATTTCAGGATCTATAGGTCAGGATTTCAGGATCTATGGGGCAAGTGAGGACCTATGGGTCAGCCAGGATCTATGGGGCAGGATCTATGGGCAGCAGGCAGAATCTATGGGTCAGGATCTATGGCTCAGTCTGTATCCCCCCTGGGCACCTGTATCCAGCTGTGTTCCAGGTGCCAGCATCACCCTTGGGCAGCTGTACCCAGCTGTGTTCCAGGTGCCAGTGTCACCCCTGGGCACCCGTATCCAGCTGTGTTCCAGGTGCCAGCGTCACCCAGGTGCCAACATCCCTCCCGGGTGCCTCAGTCCTGTCCCTGCCCCACCCTGGGGTACCCACACCCCGACCTTGTGCCCCCCTGTTCTCTGCCCCCTGTCTGTCACTGTCCCGCTGTCCCCAGTGTCCCACAGCAGTGCCAGCAGCTCCTGGCCTCTTCCTGGAGGTTCCCCCACCTCGGGGACAGGGGACAGCGGTGGTGGCACCCGCAGTGCCCGGCCACCTTCCCACCCCGGCCCGGCCGAGCCACCGCCGTGTCCCCGGTGCCCGCGGTGGCACCGGCGCTTTGCTGTGCCCCCCTCCCCGTGCCCGGCCTCAGATGGCAGCTCGGGGGTGGCGGGGGGGACACGGAGCCCCGGCTGCCATGTGCCCAGCGCCATCACGGCTGCCGCGGAGAGACAAGTGCCACCGGGCCCCCCGGGCACCCGCGGGCCGCCCCGGCCCCGCCGCCCCGCCACCCCGGGAGGTGACGGAGCCAACGCGCCGTGACACGAGGGGGGCTCGCCCACCCCCCCTCGCCTCGCCAGCGCCCGCCGGGGGGGACGTGGCGGCTGTCACAAACCATCAGCGCTGGGGACAGCGGCTGCCGTGCCCTAAGTGGGGTTAAACTCGGGGTCACCCCGATCGAGCATCCAAAGTTGGGGGGGGTCTGCTGGAAAGGAACAGCCCCCTCCCCAAATCCCGCCGCGCCCCGGTACCCCCCGGTGACAACGGGGACGGTGACGCTCTGGGGAGGGGCAGCAAAAGTGTCCCCTGGTCCCTGCGTGGCTCTCGGGGACAGCAGCGGTGGCGGCCAGGCGCGGTGGTGGCCCCGTGGCTGCTGTGTCCCCCCGGGGCTGCGAGTCACCGCGGCCACGGGGACACGCGTGGCCGTGAGGGACAAGACCCGCGGGTGGCCCAAAATCCGGTACCCGGGGTCACGGACAGCGGCGGCCTGAACTCCCGGTGACCCGCCGGGACCGGCCACCGCGGGGCCACCCCGGCACCGAGCCGCCCTGCCGGGGTCACAGCCCAGCGGTCCCGCGTGGATCCCGCCTCGATGCCCCACGGGAAAACCCGACCCGGGCCGTCCCAGAGCCCTCCGGGGCTGCGACAGCGACATTTGGGGACAGTGTGGCCCCGCAGGTCGCGGGAGACGGGTGCCAGCCGTGGGGTGGGATTTGGGGCTGGGGTCGCAGGGCCCTGGCCGGGGCTCGCGCTGTGGGTGCTGTGTCCCCTTCCCCTCATCCCCACCGCCCCTCCTCCTTTCCGTCCCCCCCGCCACCACCGGAGCTCTCCCGGTGCCACCGGGCCCGCGGGCGGCTCCTTCCAACCCGCGGCCGGAACGAAACCGGCTCCGGCTCCTTCCCCGTGACCCATTTTTACCATTTGATTGGAATCCGTTATTTGGCTTGCTTTATTATTATTATTATAATTTTTATTTTATTATTTTCTCCTCCTTTCCTCCCTCTCCCGCGCTCCGGCCCCGGGTGCGAGCGCGGTGTCATCCCCGCGTCACATCAATGAACGCGCCGCGCGTCCTTTGTCACTTCGCATTTCCCCGAGGCCACCTCGCCGTGGCCGCGGAGGTGGCGGGGGGCGC